AGAGGGAGCAAGCTTGTTTTCTGCTTCCTTGGAGACTAGGACGCGGAACAATGGCTTCAAACTACAAGAGAGGAGATTCCATCTGAACATTAGGAAGAACTTCCTGACTGTGAGAGCCGTTCAGCAGTGGAACTCTCTGCCCCGGAGTGTGGTGGAGGCTCCTTCTTTGGAAGCTTGTAAGCAGAGGCTGGATGGCCATCTGTCAGGGGTGATTTGAATGCAATATTCCTGCTTCTTGGCAGAATGGGGTTGGACTGGATGGCCCAGGAGGTCTCTTCCAACTCTTTGATTCTATGATTCTATGATGTCTTTCACTTGCTTGTGGTTTGGTCTGAGGCGGGATTGCATCCCTTGCTTTGCGCAGGTCCGGCACAGCGGCCAGCAGCCCAGCACCCAGGAGATCATTCAGTTTTCCAAGCTGTTTGAGGACGAGCTGACCCTGGAGCACCTGGAGAGGCCGCAGTTGGTCATCCTCTGCAGACTGCTGGAACTGCAGCCCATTGGCACCAACAACCTCCTCCGCTTCCAGCTTCTGATGAAGCTCAGGTCGATCAAAGCAGACGATGAAGTAAGGGAGCCCAAAAGAAGGTTGCAAAGCAGACGTGGTTAAACCCCTCTAGGCCTCCCTTTAGCTGTATTTGTGCCAGCCATTTTTCCATGTATCATTCTGTCATTTTTCTTCTCCAGTTTTTGATTTCTGACCTGCCTCTAAGGCTGGGTCCACACTGCCATATAATGCAGCTCAGCATAATTGACCTATAGACTCAAGCAAAAGCTGAGTTTTTCAGCACTTTTTTAGACTGAAAAAGCCCGCTCGACTTTTATTCAAGGTTATTTATTATTTTACTCTATTACTATTATCTTTATCACATTTATTATTTTACTCTATTATTATTTTACTACATTTATTATTTTGCTGTATTTATTATTAAATTTATTGTTTTTCTCTATTTTTATTTTTTATTATTATTATATTTATTATTTTACTCAAATATTATTACATTTATTATTTTACTCTATTATTACTGTTATTATTACATTTACTTTATTTTACTCTATTTTTATTATTATTATACTTATTATTTTACTACTATTATTATTACATTAATTATTTTACTCTCGTATTACTGTTATTATTGCACTGATTATTTTACTCTGTTATTACTGTTATTGAATTTCCATTATTTTATTGTATTATTACACTATTATTACATTTATTATTATTATTATTATTATTTTATTATATTTCTTATTTTGCTATTCATTCTATTCATTATTATTATTATTCTCTATTTTAATTTTAATTATTATTATTACATTTATTATTTTACTCTATTTAATATTATTACATTTATTATTTTACTGTAGTATTACTGTTATTATTACATTAATTATTTTACTCTATTGTTACTGTTATTAAATTTCCATTATTTTATTGTATTATTACACTATTATTATTACATTTGTTATATTATTATTATTTTATTGCATTTATTATTTTGCTCTATTTATTATTATTATTCTCTATTTTATTTTTTTTATTATTCCATTTATTATTTTTCTCTATTTAATATTATTACATTTATTATTTTACTTATTTTACTCTAGTATTACTGTTATTAAATTTACATTATCTTACTCCATTACTATTATTATTACATTTACATTATTTTACTCTATTATTATTACATTTATTATTTTACGCTATTGTTACTGTTATTAAATTGCCATTATTTTATTCTATTATTATTGTTATCATTACATTTATTATTTCACTTTTTTATTATTATTGATAGGATACATAAGCACTTTTACGTTGAAGAAAGTTAGAATAATGATTGAATCAGAGTTGGGCAGTCTTGTCTTAAATTATAGTTTTATGTAATTATTCAAAAATGCCTCAATTCATGTAATTTTATTGGTATCTATTTTTATTTTGAAATTTCCCAGTAGCGGCTGCATTTCCCACCCTCGGCTTAGACTCGAGTCAATATACTTTCCCAGTTTTTTTGTAGTAAAATTAGGTGCCTCGACTTCTATTTGGGTCAGCTTATATTCGAGTATATATGGTACTTTGTAATTGTATTGGGGAGCCCCCGGTGGCGCAGTGGGTTAAAGCACTGAGCTGCTGAGCTTGTTGATCGAAAGGTTGCAGGTTCGATTCCGGGGGCGGCGTGAGCTTCCGCTGTCAGCCCTAGCTTCTGCCAACCTAGCAGTTCGAAAACATGCAAATGTGAGTAGATCAATAGGTACTGCTCCGGCGGGAAGGTAACGGCGCTCCATGCAGTCATGCCGGCCACATGACCTTGGAGGTGTCTACGGACAACGCTGGCTCTTCGGCTTAGAAATGGAGATGAGCAACAGAGTCCCAGAGTCAGACATGACTGGACTTAATGTCAGGGGACTACCTTTACCTTTACCTAACTGTATTGGAGATGTTTTTGATATGTTATTCCTCTTCCTGGGTATTATTTTTCTTATATACATCCCACCTCGAAGTTTAAGATCTTCTGGGGAGGCCCTGCTCTCGACCCCGCCAGTGGCACAAGTGAAACTGGCGGGGACGAGGAGCAGGGCCTTCTCAGTGGTGGCCCCCCACCTGTGGAACTCACTCCCCGGGGAGATCAGATCGACGACTTCCCTTCTAGCGTTTAGGAAAAAACTAAAGACCTGGATGTGGGACCAAGCTTTTGGCCATGCTGACAACTGATCAAAGGACCTATTGATAGACAAGGACAATGGAATGGAATGGATATATGGACTCTGATATATGGACTCTGACATGAGATAGTTTTTATGATTTTAATAGGTATTGATGTTTCATTTTAATTGTTGAACTGTTATATTTTGTATTGTTTGTTGTGTGATTTGGGCATCTAATTGTGCCTCCTTTGTAAGCCGCCCTGAGTCCCCCCCGGGGTGAGAAGGGCGGGGTAGAAGTAGATGAAATAAATAAATAAAAATAAATTTGTACCGTATTTCTTCAGTTAGAGGCACCACCGATTGTATTAATTCCAGTGTTGCCACCACCAACAACAAAAATACATAAGTTACACCTGCGATTCTAAGGTGCACCTCATTTTAGAGATGTTTATATAGGGAAATGTGCACCTTAGAACTGAAGAAATCAGTATTTTAGATTGTTTTTGCTTTATAATGTTGCACACATAAATAAATGATGATCGTAATATATTTTTCGCTTCAGATAGCATGCCTAAGTATCCACATTGCACAAAGTCTATGTATTTAATGCACTAGGTGTGTCCAGCCATTGCTTTCCCTCGGTTTCTGCCACTCGGTAGAAATGGACAGAGACTTGATATCTAAAAGTGCAAAGCAAGGCTAACTCCCACGTCTCTCCTTCGTGCAGATGATTTCCAGGGAAGGTGTGAATGGGCTGAGTGTGTCCGAGCTCCAGGCCGCATGCAGGGCAAGAGGCATGAGGTCCTTGGGCATTTCGGAGGAGCAGCTGAAGGAGCAACTCAACCAGGCAAGTCAAGGAGGAGGGAGAATGAATGGGGCAAAGATCCAAGAAGGAAGCCTTCCACCTGCGCAGTAACAATATTATTATTATTATTATTATTATTTACAGTATTTATATACCGCTTTTCTCACCCCTAGGGGGACTCAATAATAATAACAATAACAATAACATTTTATTTATATTCCACCATATCTCCCCAAGGGGACTCAGGGTGGATCACAGTATTTATTTATTTATTTACTTTGCTTATATACCGCTCTTCTCAGCCCGAAGGCGACTCACAGCGGTTCACAACAAACAAGAACAGCAAAAATTCAATGCTACAGTATAAAACAGTGACACCTAACACTATACAACATTAACAAACAATTACTTCAATAACCATTCAATTAACGTCTCATCATCACAAGCATAATCCAGATTCGTCATCCATTGTTCCATTCCTATGTTCAATTACCAATCATTGCACTAATTATTCGAACGCCTGCTCAAACAGCCAGGTTTTCACTTTTTTGCGGAATGCCATTAGAGATGGTTCTAGTCTAATGTCCGTAGGAAGGGCGTTCCACAGCCGAGGAGCCACCACCGAGAAGGCCCTATCTCTCGTCCCTGCCAGCCGTGCTTGAGAAGCAGGCAGGATCGAGAGCAGGGCCTCCCCGGAAGATCTCAAAGTCCTGGTGGGTTCATAGGCAGAGTTGCAGTCGGATAGGTAGCTTGGGCCGGAACCGTTTAAGGCTTTATAGGCTAACGCCAGCACCTTGAATTGAGCCCGGTAGCAGATCTGCAGTACACATACACGGCAAACATTCAGTGCCATTTTGGATAGACATGACAGAGACAGAAGAGGAAGGAGGTATGTTCTGTCGACGTCCAGCTTTTTTGCCACCTTGGAGGTTGTGCTTGAATCCAGCCACAGGGGGGCGCTGTCACTCCAGAGTTTGGCAGTCTTATCTTAAATTACAGTTTTATGTAAATATTCAAAAACATTTAACCCACGGATGCCTCAGTTAATGTAATTGTATTGGTATCTATTTTTATTTTGAATTTTACCAGTATCATCTGCATTTCCCACCCTCGGCTTAGACTCGAGTCAATATGTTTTCCCAGTTATTTGTGGTAAAATTAGGTGCCTCGGCTTATATTTGGGTCGGCTTATACTCGAGTATATACGGTAATCCTGTTTATGTGTGTTTGTAGTACGTCACATGAACATTTTTCCACAGCAAAATGCGGCATTGGAAAATTTTCCATTCTGCATCTTTACCATTAAAGACCAGTTGTTTTTAGACAGCCACGTAAAGGAATGGACTCACTGGGTCGCTGTGAGTTTTCCGGACTGTGTAGTCATGTTTCAGAAGAACTTACAACCTCTGAGGATGGCTGCCATAGATGCAGGTGAAACGTCAGGAGAGAATGCTTCTGGAACATGACCAAACAGCCCGGAAAACTAACAACAACCCAGTGATTCCACCCATGAAAGCCTTCGATAACACATGGAATGGACTCCCTTTCATAACAAGGAAGAGAGCCCACATTTCAACCCTGTGAAAACTGAGGCGATCTCCGACCTCTCCGGGCTGTTGACCATCGCCTTTCTTCTCCTCTCTCCTTACACAGTGGCTGGACCTGCATCTTCGAGAGAATGTGCCCCCTTCTTTGTTGGTGCTCTCCCGCGCCTTGTATTTGACGGAGGTGAAGCCCATACCGATTCCTGTGACTCCAGCACCTGAGGTGAGCACTCCCAGTAGGAACAGACTTCATTGTCAGAAATATTAAACATTAACTAGGTATTTTTAATTACAAAAATGTGAGTCAAGCACTGAAAGGGTTAAATGGCTGCAATGCCTCAGTAAAAGCTGCCGTTCTGTATAAGCAGGTATGCCTGTAGCTTAGTAGGCCTCTGTGTTAGTTTGCCTCAGTTGGAGATAGGTCTCAGTCTGTGAGAAGGCCTGACAGTGTGAGATAGGCTTTAGTCTGTGAGAGAAGCCTCTGTGTGAAGTAGGCTTTAGTCTGTGAGAGAAGCCTCTGTGTGAGGTACTTAGTCTGTGAGAGAAGCCTCTGTGCGAAGTAGGTCTTAGTCTGTGAGAGAAGCCACTGTGTGAGGTAGGCCTTAGTCTGTGAGAGAAGCCTCTGTGTGAGGTAGGCCTTAGTCTGTGAGAGAAGCCTCTGTGTGAGGTAGGTCTTAGTATGTGAGAGAAGCCTCTGTGTGAGGTAGGTCTTAGTTTGTGAGAGAAACCTCTGTGTGAGGTAGGCCTTTGTCTGTGAGAGAAGCCTCTGTGTGAAGTAGGCCTTAGTCTGTGAGAGAGGCCTCTGTGCGAAGTAGGCCTTTGTCTGTGAGAGAAGCCTCTGTGCGAAGTAGGCCTTAGTCTGTGAGAGAAGCCTATGTGTAAGGTAGGTCTTAGTTTGTGAGAGAAACCTCTGTGTGAGGTAGGCCTTCGTCTGTGAGAGAAGCCTCTGTGTGAAGTAGGCCTTAGTCTGTGAGAGAAGCCTCTGTGCGAAGTAGGCCTTTGTCTGTGAGAGAAGCCTCTGTGTGAGGTAGGCCTTAGTCTGTGAGAGAAGCCTCTGTGTGAGGTAGGCCTTAGTCTGTGAGAGAAGCCTCTGTGTGAGGTAGGCCTTAGTCTGTGAGAGAAGCCTCTGTGTGAGGTAGGCCTTAGTCTGTGAGAGAAGCCTCTGTGTGAGGTAGGTCTTATTGTGAGAGAAGCCTCTGTGTGAGGTAGGTCTTAGTCTGTGAGAGAAGCCTCTGTGTGAGGTAGGCCTTAGTCTGTGAGAGAAGCCTCTGTGTGAGGTAGGTCTTAGTCTGTGAGAGAAGCCTCTGTGTGAGGTAGGTCTTAGTTTGTGAGAGAAACCTCTGTGTGAGGTAGGCCTTCGTCTGTGAGAGAAGCCTCTGTGTGAAGTAGGCCTTAGTCTGTGAGAGAAGCCTCTGTGCGAAGTAGGCCTTTGTCTGTGAGAGAAGCCTCTGTGTGAGGTAGGCCTTAGTCTGTGAGAGAAGCCTCTGTGTGAGGTAGGCCTTAGTCTGTGAGAGAAGCCTCTGTGTGAGGTAGGCCTTAGTCTGTGAGAGAAGCCTCTGTGTGAGGTAGGCCTTAGTCTGTGAGAGAAGCCTCTGTGTGAAGTAGGCCTTAGTCTGTGAGAGAAGCCTCTGTGCGAAGTAGGCCTTAGTCTGTGAGAGAAGCCTCTGTGTGAGGTAGGTCTTTGTGAGAGAAGCCTCTGTGTGAGGTAGGTCTTAGTCTGTGAGAGAAGCCTCTGTGTGAGGTAGGCCTTTGTCTGTGAGAGAAGCCTCTATGTGAGGTAGGCTTTAGTCTGTGAGAGAAGCATCTGTGTGAGGTAGGCTTTAGTCTGTGAGAGAAGCCTCTGTGTGAGGTAGGCCTTAGTCTGTGAGAGAAGCCTCTGTGTGAGGTAGGTCTTAGTATGTGAGAGAATCCTCAGTGTGAGGTAGGCCTTTGTCTGTGAGAGAAGCCTCTGTGTGAGGTAGGCTTTAGTATGTGACAGAAGCATCTGTGTGAGGTAGGCTTTAGTCTGTGAGAGAAGCCTCTGTGTGAGGTAGGTCTTAGTATGTGAGAGAAGCCTCTATGTGAGGTAGGCTTTAGTCTGTGAGAGAAGTCATTGTGTGAAGTAGGCCTTAGTCTGTGAGGCGGCCACAGAATGTGAGACGGCCTGGTGTAAGAAGCTTCTGTGAGAGAAGCCCCAGGTTGAAGGCCTCATGTGTAAAACTGGGTGTGAAGGTACTGTGCGAATCTCCTTTATAAGTTTGATGCGAGAGAGCGAAGCTGTTTACTGCATGAGAAAAACGGTAAACGTAGCTTTATTTGTTTTGGTTTAGCCTTTCAAGAGCGAGAAAGTACGTGCTGTCGACCGTGAAACCTTGGTGGATTCCGCTCCCAAAGTCCAGGAAAAAAAGGTGAGCCGCAGTGTGTTTTATGGCCCTGTTGGCATGGTGTTCCTTCTTTATTTATGAATATTTTTATTATTATTTACGTATTTACAGTATCGTAAAAGAAGGAGTAGGGCACGGGGGGGAGTGGAAATAGAGTAGGGGGGAAACTACTGTGAGCGAAAAAAACAACAACACCGAAATTACTAGGGTTCTGGGGAAGGAAGCTGGAAAATGAGAAAAAGGGGGAAAAAAAGACTTCCACTCTTTTCCACTGTGGTTTGTTGCTGTGGCCAACCTTCCCTCCCTTTTCCTCTCCTTCTTTCTTTCTCTCCTTCCTTCCCTTTTCTTCTTTCCTTCTCTCCTTCCTTCCTTCTCTCCCTCTTCCCTTCCTTTCCTCCTTTTCTTTCCCTTCCCTCTTTCTCTCCTTTCTTACTTCTCTAACTATTCTTGGACTACAACTCCCAGCAGTCCTCTGATCCATCCATCTACCTAGCTATCTATCTAACTGCCTTCTCTATCTGGAGGATTGCTGGGAGTTGCAGCCCAGTAATAGAAAATTGGAAACATGCCGGGATTGGGTAGGAGCCTATGGGTTGTTAAGTGACTTTCCTTTCCCCGCTTCTCTTTCCTTTGAAGACTGAAGAATTTATTTTGCAGCCAAAAGAGGCCTCGCCAGTCCCTGAGGTGTCAGTCAAGCCTCCTGGAAATGAGGTGGGTTTGAATTAACAGTTAAGAGTCACATCGAGACATTGGGTTGTGTATTGGAGTTGCCCAGGGAGCCCGCAGTGGTGCAGCAGGTTAAACTGCTGAGCTGCTGAACTTGCTGACCAAAAGATTGGCTGTTTGAATCCGGGGAGCGCGGTGAGCTCCCGCTGTTAGCCCCAGCTTCTGCCAACCTAGCAGATTGAAAACATCCAAATGTGAGTAGATCTATAGGTACCGCTTCTACGAGAAGGTAATGGTGTTCCATGCAGTCATGCCAGCCTCATAACCTTGGGGGTCAGGACTCCGGGGGGGGGGTCATGAGGGGGAGTCAGAGGGGTCAACAAAGACCATCAGAAAACACAGTCTTTCCTGTAGGTCATGGGGATTCATTGTGGGAAGTTTGGCCCAATTCTATCGTTCGTGGGGTTCAGAATGTCAGAATGCTCTTTGATTGTAGGTAAACTATAAATCCCAGCAACTACAACTCCCAAAGGACAAGGTCTATTTCCCCCAAACTCCAGTGTTCACATTTGGGAATATTGAGGATTCGTGCCAAGTTTGGCCCAGATCCATCATTGTTTGAGTCCACAGTGCTCTCTGGATGTAGGTGAACTAGAACTCCAAAACTCAAGGTCAATGCCCACCAAACCCTTCCAGTATTTTCTGTTGGTCATGGGAGAACTGTGTGCCAAGTTTGGTTCAATTCCATCGTTGTTGGGGTTCAGAATGCTCTTTGATTGTAGGTGAACTATAAATCCCAGCAACTACAACTCCCAAATGTCAAGATTCTATTTTCCCCAAACTCCACCAGTGTTCACATTTGGGCATATTGAGTATTCGTGTCAAGTTTGGTCCAGATCCATCATTGTTTGAGTCCACAGTGATCTCTGGATGTAGGTGAACTACAACTCCAAAACCAAGGTCAATGCCCACCAAACCCTTCCAGTATTTTCTGTTGGTCATGGGAGAACTGTGTGCCAAGTTTGGTTCAATTCCATCGTTGGTGGGGTTCAGAATGCTCTTTGATTGTAGGTGAACTATAAATCCCAGCAACTACAACTCCCAAATGACAAAATCATTTTTTTTAGTGAAGGACATACATTGGGTTGTTAGGTGTCTTGTGTCCAAATTTGGTGCAATTCGTCCAGTGGTTTTTGAGTTATGTTAATCCCACAAACGAACATTACATTTTTATTTATATAGACTAGCCGTCCCCTGCCATGCGTTGCTGTGGCCCACATGGGGGTTCTGTGTGGGAGGTTTAGCCCAATTCTATCGTTGGTGGGGTTCAGAATGCTCTGTGATTGTAGGTGAACTATAAATCCCAGCAACTACAACTCCCAAATGTCAAGATTCTATTTCCCCAAACTCCACCAGTGTTCACATTTGGGCATATTGAGTATTCGTGTTGAGTTTGGTCCAGATCCATCATTGTTTGAGTCCACAGTGATCTCTGGATGTAGGTGAACTACAACTCCAAAACCAAAGGACACTGCTCACCAAACCCTTCCAGTTTTTTCTATTGATCATGGGAGTTCTGTGTGCCAAGTTTGGTTTAATTCAATTGTTGGTGGGGTTCAGAATGCTCTTTGTAGTTGAACTATAAATCCCAGCAACTACAACTCCCAAATGACAAAATCAATTTTTTTGAGTGAAGGACATACATTGGCTTGTTAGGTGTATGTTGTCCAAATTTGGTGTCAATTCATCCAGCGGTTTTTGAGTTCTGTTAATACCACAAACCAACATTACATTTTTGTTTGTATAGATACTAGCCGGCCCCTGCCATGCGTTGCTGTGACCCAGTCCGGTGGTCATGGGGGTTCTGTGTGGGAGGTTTGGCCCAGTTCTATCGTTGGTGGGGTTCAGAATGAGCTGTGATTGTAGGTTTTTGCACATGTGCTGTAGCGTCTTTTTGCTTTTTTGGCTGTTTGAGTCCCTTCCACTATGTTTTTCAGTGTGTTTATGAGTGATGGTCACTCGTTGGCCTGAGAAGTGCCTTGTGTCCAAATTTGGTGAACTATAAATCCCAGCAACTACAGCTCCCAAATGCCAAGATTCTATTTTCCCCAAACTATATTATTATTATTATTATTATTATTATTATTATTATTATTATTATTATTTCCTTTGTGACTCTTTATTTTCCTATTTTTGCTTCTCCTAGACGAAACTGGAAGCCTCTCAGAGCAGCAAAGCCAGCGCCAACGGAGTCTAAGCATTCTCCCATCATGGACTTGAGAACGGAGGGGAAACCGTTCCGTGTCTGGACCTGATCTAGACTCGCAAAGGATGGGCCTTTCTCGTCGTTGAGCTCCTGTCCACGTACAGATTTCCTCCTCCCTTCCTTCTTTCGAGACCGCTTTGATGTGACCTGGGTGGTTTGGTTCGCATCTAAGCTAGACAAAAAAAAGGCACCTTGCATTTAGTGGCAAACCTCTCCGTTTACCTTACCTCGTGTGACGTAACTTATTGTTATTATTGTTTTTGTAGATATGTACATAACCTACGACCAAGATGTACTGTTTAACTTATGCAACATTGCCGAGCGTTAAAATTTGTATTTCCTCAAAGATTTTAAGTAAAGCAGCCATTTATTCTTAGCTTTCCTTTTGTAAACAAAAGCCAAAGTGATGGCAGAGCTTTGAATGAGCACTTTTGTATTGGGAACATTCTTGAATGGGTTGCTGTGGGTTTTCCGGGCTGTTTGACCATGTTCCGGAAGCATTCTCTCCTGACGTTTAACCCACATCTATGGCAGGCATCCTCACAGGTTGTGAGTTCTGTTGGAAACTAGGAAAATTAGGTTTATACAGGGTTAGTCAAAATGAATAGGCCAATAAGAAAATTAATTTTAGACGAATGTATGTTTATTGTAACCAAACTACAGCTACGTAGCGACAGATAAACTATCAAAGTTTTGTCTCACCTTCAGAGATGTTCGATATGGGCGCCCCGTGTGACACGGCAGATGTCCAAGCGATAGTCCAGTTCATTCCACATCCGTTGCAGCACATCCGACGTAATGGCATCGAATGCAGCAACGTCTGGGAAGGTGTTCGTTGAGGTCCTAACCCTAACCCTATCCCTAACCCTATCCCTAACCCTAACCCTAACCCTAACCCTAACCCTAACCCTAACCCTAACCCTAACCCTAACCCTATCCCTAACCCCCTAACCCTATCCCTAACCCTAACCCTAACCCTAACCCTATCCCTAACCCTAACCCTAACCCTATCCCTAACCCTAACCCTAACCCTAACCCTAACCCTAACGCTTGAAATTCTCGCTGGACCGTAATTACTGACATTGTTTTAGCAAATGTCATCACACAAAACGCCTTCTCTTTGCTTGATTCCGCCATTTTGAAAACAGCGACCCCTAGCGACGCCTAGCGGCATTAACGTACATGTGTGTTGCTCAAAAAAAACTTTGATAGTTTATCTGTCGCTACGTAGCTGTGGTTTGGTTACAGTAAACATACATTCGTCTAAAATTAATTTTCTTATTGGCCTATTCATTTTGACTAACCCTGTATATCTGTGGAATGTTGTCCAGGGTGGGAGAAAGAAAGAACTCAGGTCTATTTCAGGTGGGAATGTTTCAATTGGCCACCTTGATTGGCATTTAATGGCCCAGCAGTTTCAAGGTCTGGTCTTTTACTTATTTTTAAAAAATGATTTTTATTAATAGAGTGTACGATTACAAGGAATTTGGGGGAATATTTGTGGAGGAGGAGACAGTAAAGTAGGAAAAGAGATATGCAAGAGAATGATAACACAGCCAATGAAGAAGGAGGGATAAAAATAAAAATTAAAGAAAATGAAAAAGCTTGTCCATAGGGTTTACAGACCCCCCTCCAAAAACATGGGGGGAAGAAAAAAACCCCGTATATATATATCTAAAAAGGACTCCCATCTATTCTTTGAAGATATTGAATAATTTTTTTCTCCTATATTATTAGTAAAATAGAAAGATACTTCCCTCTTTTAGAGTTTTTTTAATAGTGGAAATTACTGAAAATTACAACAGCAAAACAACAGAGGTGTAAAGAGGAGAATAATTACAGGCACCTTCGTGTGGCAGGGGAGACCTTTGTTCTTGTGGGTTTTTTCGGGCTATATGGCCATGTTCTAGAGGCATTTCTCCTGACGTTTCGCCTGCATCTATGGCAAGCTTCCTCAGAGGTCTGAGGTGCAGGCGAAACGTCAGGAGAAATGCCTCTAGAACATGGCCATATAGCCCGAAAAAACCCACAAGAACTGAGTGATTCCGGCCATGAAAGCCTTCGACAATACAGGGGAGACCTTTCTTTTCTATCCCACCACTGCCACCATTTTGTAAAGGAGCGTAAAATTACTGCCTCCAATTTAATATTATGTAGAGCGTGTGAGAGAAGAATATTTCCTTTTTAAAATGTTTTGCTGCCTTGTACTGATTCAGGTTCCCCCTTCAAAAATAGAATCATAGAATCATAGAATCCTAGAGTGGGAAGAGACCTCCTGGGCCATCATCCAGTCCAACCCCATTCTGCCAAGAAGCAGGAATATTGCATTCAAATCACCCCTGACAGATGGCCATCCAGCCTCTGTTTCAAAGCTTCCAAAGAAGGAGACACCACCACACTCCGGGGCAGAGAGTTCCACTGCTGAACAGCTCTTACAGTCAGGAAGTTCTTCCTCATGTTCAGATGGAATCTCCTCTTGTAGTTTGAAGCCATTGTTCCATTGCGTCCTAGTCTCCAAGGAAGCAGAAAACAAGCTTGCTCCCTCCTCCCTGTGGCTTCCTCTCACATATTTATACATGGCCATCATATCCCTTCTCAGCCTTCTCTTCTTCAGGCTAAACATGCCCAGCTCCTTAAGCCGCTCCTCATAGGGCTTGTTCTCCAGACCCTTGATCATTTTAGTCGCCCTCCTCTGGACACATTCCAGCTTGTCAATATCTCTCTTGAATTGTGGTGCCCAGAATTGGACACAATATTCCAGGTGTGGTCTGACCAAAGCGGAATAGAGCATGGGGAGCATGACTTCCCTAGATCTAGACACTATGCTCTTATTGATGCAGGCCAAAATCCCATTGGCTTTTTTTGCCGCCACATCACATTGTTGGCTCATGTTTAACTTGTTGTCCACGAGGACTCCAAGATCTTTTTCACACGTACTGCTCTCGAGCCAGGCATCCCCATTCTGTATCTTTGCATTTCGTTTTTTCTGCCAAAGTGGAGTATCTTGCATTTGTCACTGTTGAACTTCATTTTGTTAGTTTTGGCCCATCTCTCTAATCTGTCAAGATCGTTTTGAATCCTGCTCCTGTCCTCTGGACTATTGGCTATCCCTCCCAATATTCTGGTCCCGTCTGCAAACTTGATGATCCTGCCTTCTAGCCCTTCATCTAAGTCGTTAATAAAGATATTGAACAGGACCGGGCCCAGGACGGAACCCTGCGGCACTCCACTTGTCACTTCTTTCCAAGATGAAGAGGAAGCATAGGACTCTCTGTGTTTATAAAAACCTTTTGGCTTTGAATCATAGGCTTGAGGCTCTCGTATGCAACAAGTAATAATGTTTATTTATAACTTTAAGTTCCAACACTTGGAAATACATTTGTATCTTGTCACGTTCTTAAGGCTTACTTTCAATATCATTAACTTGGTTACTTTTCCTTTTAAACTCTTGACAGAATTATATTGTAACTTAAGCCACACTGGCTTTAACTTATTCTCCTTTACAACTTGAGCTACATTTAATAACTCTTCTCTCAAAACAGAGTTTCCCACTGTCTCTCTCTCTCTCAGACAGGGATTCTTAACTACTTCTTTTCACACACAGATTCCTAACTGCTTCACAAACAGCTATTCCTAACTCACTTCACAAGCAGCCATTCCTAACTCACTTCACAAGCAGCCATTCCTAACTCACTTCACAAGCAGCCATTCCTAACTAACTTCACAAGCAGCCATTCCTAACTCACCTCACAAGCAGCCATTCCTAACTAACTTCACAAGCAGCCATTCCTAACTAACTTCACAAGCAGCCATTCCTAACTCACTTCACAAGCAGCCATTCCTAACTAACTTCACAAGCAGCCATTCCTAACTAACTTCACAAGCAGCCATTCCTAACTCACCTCACAAGCAGCCATTCCTAACTAACTTCACAAGCAGCCATTCCTAACTCACTTCACAAGCAGCCATTCCTAACTCACTTCACAAGCAGCCATTCCTAACTAACTTCACAAGCAGCCATTCCTAACTAACTTCACAAGCAGCCATTCCTAACTAACTTCACAAGCAGCCATTCCTAACTCACTTCACAAGCAGCCATTCCTAACTCACTTCACAAGCAGCCATTCCTAACTCACTTCACAAGCAGCCATTCCTAACTCACTTCACAAGCAGCCATTCCTAACTAACTTCACAAGCAGCCATTCCTAACTCACTTCACAAGCAGCCATTCCTAACTAACTGTCATTTCTTTTTCTCTCCAACTCTAACTGCCTCTTTTTTAAAACTTAACTCCGCCCCTTTAGAACGTTCAGCTCTGCTCTTCTCAACTCCTGGGCCTACACTAATCTGCATAGGACCAATCGGCTTCCCATATGCAAATGATCTTGTCTTTGCTGTTGCTATCCTCACTGTACTAAATCTGCCCTATCTGACACATGGGAACATAGAGCTATACACCAAAAATCTTGCAGAGATCAGCAAATTCATTACAAGAGGGAAAACAATCTGGGACATCTAATCACCTCTCAACAAAAGATTGCCCCAGGCACTGCCAGGCCATCAAATGCTAATCAAGGAGTTCAGTTGAAACATTCACACCTAGCTCCAGCAGACAAGAGTCCTTTGTCCCACCCTGGACATCATACCACACATATATAAACCCATTTTCCTAGCTCCCAAGAGACCTCATTACCTCTGAGGATGCTTGCCATAGATGCAGGCGAAACGTCAGGAGAGAATGCCTCTAGAACAGTGGTTCTCAACCTGGGGTCGCCAGATATTTTTAGCCTTGAACTCCCAGAAATCCTAACAGGTGGTAAACTGGCTGGGATTTCTGGGAGTTGTAGGCCAAAAACATCTGGGGACCCCAGGTTGAGAACCACTGCTCTAGAACATGGCCATACAGCCTGAAAAAACTACAACAACCCTATTATAGTCTCCATGCAACCGGCGGGACAGCCACATTCCAATAGCTGTGGGCTCCGTGGCATTCGTGGTTCCATTTGACGCATTACCGTGGCGTTCCATAAGTGTTCCTTTGCATTTCCCTTTGCAGTGCCTATAGACTTGTCCTGCCTTCCCGTTTACGTGTTGCGCAAAAGACCAACGCTGCAGCAAAGTCCAAAATTGCACCGTAATCTAGTTTGAAATAGCAACGTTTCCCGACCAAAGGGCGGATTAAGTTGTAAGGATCCAGGCCAGCCGGTAAACATCAATATTTAATTGAATATTGAATTCACCTATGGTGGATGGCTCTGGGAAAGGTCTTTCCTCTTGGGACTGCGAGGGTCTTCCAAGATCAGCCAACAACAGCTCTGGGGTCCCAAAGGTCAATTTAGCATGGCTTTGCCTAAATGCCACGAGTCACGGAACATC